CCATTTATCATTCAAATCAAAGATACAGGTCTGACACCAATGACGTTTCAGGTATCCAAATAATTTTACTGGGCAAGCAAGTAGATATCACTACACACTGAAAAAGCCTTCCACCCCTGGACAGACCATCAATGTGTTTCACCCTCAACAGGACCTGTTCATATAGGCATCTACCTGCTTGCCTAATAAAACAATTTGAATGCTTGAAAATCCATCTGTGTGCAGCCTGTCTCTGCTTTGAATGTGAAACACAAGCGTGTTCTAAATAGATACTTGATGTTTTCTTGGGACATTAATGTAAAAGCATATGGAAGCATATCTTTCATAGAAAACAGCACCGTACATGTCCTATAACGTGTCTGCCCACATTTACATGTTTTTAATGAATGTTTTCAATATATTAACATGCATTTGTAAATCATTCCTTGCATCAAGCTAATCCCTTGCACATGTACAGTATATCTATAAAATACTTGAAAAGACTATACACTATCCCTTTAAATGTGGTGACAGCAGCAAAGACACTAAAAATTCTATTCAGAGACATTCCATAAAGGAGCATTACAGCAAACTACTAAGTTACTTGCACTGGGTGTGGATCTGAATTAGCTGCATTGATGGCTCTGTTGCTCCCCTGAGTAATGACCTCACTCTGCTCTGATTGTAACAGGTAAGATTTATCAGTGACATCAGTGTAATTAAATTAAGATAAGACACTAAATATTAAAGATGAACTCCAAGCAAACAGCTAAATACACAGATAAATATATATTTGAGAGTTGGTTTACCTGCCAAAAGGATTTGTATTTCTATCCATCCAGTTCTGAAATTTACACAGTTCTGCCAGAAAGCACAGTCTTGCTGGCCAAGAAAAAAGATCCTGATCTTTCTCTGCTGCAGTTTCACTTCTACTTACAAGTCTCCTCCCCATCCCAACTTTGGTAATGAACAGTGAAAGATGAATCAGCGCACAGATAAGCTCATAACAGGGGGTTAGTGTCCCTTTATGGGTAGTCTCCAGCAGCGTAGGCTAGACATTTTCTCCCTGACTATAATATATAAAGTGAGTGAGGAGCTGTAGGTGGGGGAGAGAGGTGCATGGGAAGAGACACCCATGATGGTCTTCAGTCTGTGGTGATGCGATTACCATGTTTTCTCATCTGTGGTCCCCAGCCTGGGCCCGTGAAAAATTCCTCAGAGTGATAAATTGGTAGAGTAGCCATGCAGAGACTTGTAGTACTGGTAGCCAACCTCTCTTTTTAGGATGATGTGCTCTATTTGAAGAATCGTTATGCCCCCAGTTGGTTTTTGAAAAAGAACAAACAGTAAAGTAAAGCAATCAGAAAAGCAAATGCCAACTGGACATTCCCTTATTGGGGTGAGCTGAGATATGCCATATGCCTACTCTGTGTAAGGGTTAGTAAACCCTGAAGGGCTTGAAGTATGACGTGGCCAGGAGACAGGCACATGTTCCTGGTGGTTCTTTGGCCATAAGGTGATGAAAGCATTGGTAACACCCAATCCCCCTCACGTTTCATGGTTCTACAAGAGCCCTCCTGGCACAGAAACTGATTTAACAACCCACCACTTGGGGGCCCTCTTACAAGTTCACCTCTGTCAATCTGCTATATCCTCCTATCAGCGTGGTCCTTGCACCGTACACACCTGATCGTTTGCCTGTGCTGCTTCTCCCTCCACCTTTCTGTTTCTCTGCTGCGCAGGAACTGCAAGAATTCACCAAGCTTTGTTGGTGGTACTGACTGCTGAACGAGACCGATTGTATACATTTTGCTGTGGCATGTACTAACATGGCCATGGTTGCCATGTTACCTTGCAGCTGGACATTTGAGGGTCAAAAACTCGTCCCAACAGCCTATTCTTGTATATCAGGCTGTAACACACTGCACTGTTACTGTTTGCAGGATGTTGATTGACCACAAGATGGCAGTGTTCCTCAGTTTAGCTATTACAGACTTGAGTGTATAGCAAAGCATTGTTGAACTTGTATGCTGGAAACAGGACTGTTGTGCCCGGACGGACTGAAAGCAGACTACATTTCCCAGAGGAGCTGGCAAAGGGGGCCTATACAATCATATGCCTGGGAACTTCCTGGAGGGAGGAGAGAGACTGTGTGAGGGTGTGAACATGTGCTGGACGCAGGTGCAGGACTCAGAGGGCCCAGGCTAGATCCGGTCACATTGGAGAGATGGAAGGAAGGAGAGGAGAGTCACCCCTGCAGGCAGACAGATTGTGAAATTGTGACCAGTATCATTACGTTCTCGGAGGTACCAAGATGACAAGGGCCCCCCTAACCAAGAGACTGTTCTTCACTCTGCTAATACTACAGGCTTGGTGAGAGGATTCCACAACCCAAATTGTCTTCAGTTAGCAGACATCCTGCTGTTTTTTTTTTGCAGTTATTTCAGTGCAGTACACTTTGTACACAGTCTAACACTTGAAACACAGACTTCTTAGCCCAATTCAGTACAGCTGCCTAAAGCTTTATTGTTCTTCCCGCCCCTCATTGCTCTCCTCCTCCTGCAGCACGTGTGTCTTGGGGGGACAAGAACCCTGGTAATACCTCAACTTCAATACACTGTAGTTGTAAAGGAACTTGCTTCATCAGGCCAATTCCCTACTTTTGGAATACAAATTCTACTGGAGTCTACTCCTGCTCTTTTCTCATCTATATCAATCTTTGCTTTCACTTTCACAAAGTGACCCTTTCTAGGTCCGCTACCATCAGTCAGGGGAAGTTTTCCTACTACTGTGTCTTTTCTTCTTCAAAAGATGTTGCTCTCAAACAGGGGCGGACTGACAACTCATGGGGCCCCCGGGCAATAGGGGATCATGGGGCCCCTGTGTCCTTGCCCAAACTCAAAAAAGCCTATGAAAAAGGTATCAGGGGCATCTCATGGGGCCCCCTACTGACCCCGGGCCCTCGGGCAGTGCCCGAGTTTCCAAATGGTCAGTCCGCCCCTGTTCTCAAATGAAAAGGAACTCAACCTTAATGTGCATCAACTAGGGCCCCAACAAGTGTGCAGAAGAGTTGTTTTTATGTTTGGGGGTGATACTAACGGAGACATTATCTACATATCCATCTTTAGAGTTAAACCTTGCTCCCAGTCATTGAGAACCCAAAAGTGAGTTAGCCAAATTCTTGATAGCCTATTTCATCTCATTTTGGGAAAGATATCTCAGTGTGGGAATTGACGTTTAAACTCTGGTCCTGCAGGACATTTGGGGTTTTGTTCTAAAATGGTATTGTGCTTAATCATTTGGCTGAGTTTTTCAGAGTGTCTAACTCTGCTTACTGTTACTTCTTTTGTGCTTGTACTATTTTTTTACTTTGACCTCAATACAATCAGAGTACTGGTTCACCTTAAACTGTGTGATTTCTGGTCAAGGTGCTACGATGGTGTCAGCAGGGACTGTGCTTACAAATCAGACTCTGAACACACAGGGAACCCAAAACACTCAGTGACTTATAAGGGGGTAGCGCTGCAAAGCCTTGATGTGCAGCATTCATTTGTATCTCTGCTTGGAGTTCAGGCTTAAAACCAGGCAGAGAGCAAAATCTTTACTGTCCTGAAGAGCTAGAAGAGCCGCTGATATCCCACATGTCCAGGTGTGTCGGATATCCGGTCCCCAGCAGTGATGTGGTCCTTATCACCAACCACTTTGTAACAGTAGTGGACAATGGAAGGAACCAAAGCATCCAGCAGGGGACCAGATATTCAACATACCCATGCAGGTGTACAGGATTTCTTTGTTGTAAAAATTCTGAAAACCAAATCTGTTTTATTTCTCTTCATATTAATTTGTGGGAATGCAAGGACAGGTGATGTGCTGTATGTGTGACTGCGCAGAGATCACTTCTAACTCGTCACACATAATTTGCTAAATTCTTTCTCCTTTCATCTCTATGTACCTAGCTGAGTCATGAAGGCCACTGCCAATGACAGGACTGATTCAACATGAACCCAGCAAGTCCAGAAAATAATGGTTTAGGGCACAGTACTGATAAAACCCAATCACTAAAATCTCCTGGAAGCTTTAACATGGTAATACTCTAACAGTCACGTTCAATGATTCTACGTCTGTGACGTTCACTAAAAAATGCCTGGTAATCCTGCCATGAAGGAAGGTCCTTATTCAGGTAATTTCCTCCTGAACCATACCTGACCCCCCCTCCTGAACCATACCAGGCCACATGCCCTTAATATGGGGGGGTGCTTTGGGGGTGGGGGGGCACCCCCAGAGCTCCTTGTCCCCATGGTGATAGGGACAAGGGCCTCCTACCCACAACCCTGGTTGGTGGTTGTGGGGGTCTGTGGGCGGGGGACTTATCAGAATTTGGAGGCCCCCAGATCCCACCTCTCAATGTGAATGAGTATGGGGTACACAGTACCGCTGCTCATTTACTCCCTAAAAAAGTGCATTGTAAAACAACACAGGAGGCAATTTTTGACAAGTCCTTTATGAAGAAAAAAATGTCTCCTGGGGTAGATCCATCGCCAATGATCGTCGATGCCCACCGCCACCTTTGACCCAAAAAAAGGCTCTGCCCTTGATGCTAGCTCCCGCCATATGACAGCTCCATCAGCCTGACCGTTTTTAAATAACTAAAAGGTGTGGCCATCCGGGGACTTGACTGGGTGACTACGGCCCCTTGTAACATCTTCGCCCAGGGACTGCTGGATCGATTATGTCACAAGGGGGCGTGGTCAAATTTTTTTTTTTGGCATGGGGGTTCCCCTGAAAATCCTTACCAGACCCTAAGGGCTTGGTATGGATGGGGGGACCTCATGCCATTTTTATGCTTGATTTTTAATTGCCGGCCACTTTTTGTTTTTACATTCAGCTGTCAGCAGGGGACCCCGCTGACAGCCAATGACTCATGAGTTGTTAAGGATGCGCTGGGCACCCGCTCCTTAACAGCCGTGACCGTTACCAGTACATACCGCATGCCTGGACCACTACTTAATTACCGCATGCATTTATTATTTACATTCTTCCTTGAATTGACTTTAAGGTCTTTTTATGTGGTATTTTCCCATGTAACGCATGCAATAACCTTTAGTGAATTGTCCCCTATAAGACAAAAGATTTTAGGTGCTACTCCAGGTCCCCAAGCCAATTGCCTCAGGTGTCTCACACTAGAAGGGTGCTGGCAAGGGAAGAGCCTGTCCTCCATGACTAAGCCCTGTAGATGGGATGAAATGCGTTGGGGGAGGCGTGGCCTGGATGGAGCCAGACTGAAGCCCTTTTATCTGTCTACACCTGGGCTGTATGTTGGTGTGCAACATTTTGGACTTCTCCTTGTTTAGTGAACTCCAGTGATATTTCAGTCCTGCGTGGTTGTACAGGTCCTTCTCCAGTACTGAAATTGTTTACTTATACTTCACTGCACTCTGTGAACCTCTCTTGGTGTGCAGTAAAAACCACCTCAAGTCCGATAAAGCCTCATTTCCTGCCTCATCTAGCGTCATCTAGATCTTTCCTGCCCAACTTCAGTGTCGGTAGCCTGCCTCTTTCATATATCAAATGTGGTTCTTTCAAGCATGGAGTTTCAGCATCATATGTGGGTGCTACCTAGGGTGGTCTGCGTATAAACACAACCTACATAGGGATTTCTCGTCCTCCACACTGACCTAAACCCATGAAGACATATCTCCTCCTAAAAGCCAGCCCACTGCTTGCATAAGGGTTGAGAGCTATTGAGAGGAGTACTGAGACAGACTGCTGCAATGTTTTCAGGAAGTTATATACAGAACCCTGCCTGCTCCTCCCATCAGCCATGATATGCCTGCATTGGATAGAGAAGCACAGAGACCTACACCGATGACCTGAATGGCCCTACAATAAAGGTATACATTGAAAATGAAATCGTTTTATTTAAAAATGTTTTTAGTATGTTGATAAGGGAGAAAAAGAATAACGAGAATGCAAATTATAAGTAGATTCAACTTTTTAAAAAATGACTGTTTATGATACACAGTGTGTTATAAAACTAAATTTTATTTGATTAGGATTTACATTTGCTTTAACCCTTCACAACTCATTGCCAACATTTTTTATGTTTTGCTTGTGCAACTCCTTCAGCCTTGAACCCCATGGACCACTATCCAATGAATGACAAAAAGCACAAATGAAATCATTTCTGCCAAAATCTGATCCCAGAGGGCAGAAGAGTTAGTTTAACAATTTCATTTCTCAACATCAAACCCCCCTTTTCTCTCCCCAGCATAAACTAACATCATTTTACATCTGAGTGTGTGCGCGGTCCAGGAAAGCCATCAGATCACACAGATAATACACGGGAGAAATTGATGGCCGAGGGAAAGTGACGGCCTCGATGGAGCAGAGATGGATCAGGCTATTATGTTTTTTTTTAATTGAATCAAGGCTTCGGGGAGCAGTTTGTAACTGAAGCATCAATGAATAATTAATGTAAAATACTATTTAGAAAAGATAACTCTTACGAGGATGTGATTTCTGAGGATTATGTACTTCTAAACACAGTCTTTCTTCCCATGCGCAGGGACACAGCCAATTTTCAATTAGATTAAAATATTAGGCCGGCGTAGATAGCAATAATCCCTGAATTCAGCGATTTGGTGAGCCGGTTTCACAATTTAATACGCCCGGCACTGAGTGCTCTCGAAAAACTGGAAGAGTAAAAAGGCATTTTTCTGGCTTCATTACACATGGCAAAATCAGTAACGTTTTAATTAGAAATACTTACATTTATGCTTTGAATAATTACAATGCGAGAGTGATGTTGGCAGGGATTAGTACGTCCGGGAATGTCCATGGAATCCCTTCCAAAAATCAGAGCAGCAAGTCTACAGAACGCAGGCAATGCAGAATTATGTTAGGAAGGGCGAGGAATGGAAAATTGTGGCTTAGTCCCCTGCCAGTTTTACCCATGTCCCTGGGGTTCTTCTAACCCCTAAATTAAACAGGAGTGCTGAGCATTTGTACAAAAATTAACGTAGCTGTTGACTCTTAATAAACACACGTACCAGTCCAGGGATCCAGCACTGTCATCACCTGGGCTGGTTCTTCTCTGGTCTTCATGCCCCTAGAGCCGCCATCTTGCTTGTGCAAAGCCGGCTGTGAATTCCTGCTGGCCTACTGCTAGCTCCCCACTGTGTATGCAGGTTGCAGGTGGCGAGGGCAAATTTCCAATCTACTCACCTAGGCGAACAAAACGGAAGTGGGAGCGGGTACCTGTCACAAATAGGTACCCGTGCCAAAAAAATAAAAAAAAAAGTTTTCAAACCAGGTGGGCGGGGTCGGCTTCATTAGGTTGGAGCATTTGCAGGAGGAATCCTTTGTAATGTTTTAAATGTTTATTTGTAAAAGAACGAATGAGAATGGTAAAATTGAAGATTTAGCCACACAAAACAAAATTCCTTATAAACTTAAGACAAAATTGACTTGAAATCATGTATATTGTTGAGGTCTTGTGTGTTGCAGTAATCCAAAGTACTAACCCAACAATCCTCTGACACACATGTTGTAGTGCTACTGTCAGTGTTGCCAATCTCCCGCAGCATTTTTTACTGACAAAACATGGAAAATTTACCGACGGAGCACATTTTGTTTACTGTCGACCTGAAAATGAGATTAAAAACTAAGACAATCGATATTTAAACAGTAGAAACACAATATAAAAACACTGGCAATACCCATAACAAGTAATTTCACTGGTCTACACTTACAAAAGTCAGCACAGCATGACAAATTATCAGCCCCAGACAGTTGTGAAAATCACCAATTTTTACAAACTGGCTGTAAATTTACTGATGGTTAGCAACCCTGGCTACTGTGCATTGTGGTGTGCTGAAAAAGATAAACAATTTGACATGTCTGGTTTTTTTTTGTCTGTTGTGGTACATTGGCATTCTGTATAAACTCCTTAAAGTAACACATGTTAATACGTAACATAATGTGCCGAACAGGGGCGGACTGACAACTCATGGGGCCCCCAGGCAATAGGGGATCATGGGACCCCTGTGTCCTTGCCCACACTCAAAGCACACTCACAAAGCCTATAAAAAAGGTACCAGGGGCATTTCATGGGGCCCCCTACTGAGCTTGGGCCCTCGGGCAGTGCCGAGAGCTCAAATGGTCAGTCCGCCCCTGCTGCCAAACATAATGCACCAGAACTGGGAAAGTGGAACTGGGATCCTTAAAGTCTCCTTTTAAAGAAAAACCATGACACAGGTGACACAGGAAATATACTGTATAACAAGTCCATCCAAAAGTATTGAGGTTACATCCACCTAACATTCTACTCTGGGCCTCATTCCATAATCTACATTAAATGTGTAGATTTTCTGGTGAATATACAGTACATGATGTGTACCTTAGCCAAGAAATATACAGTTCAAACTCTGTTCTTTAATCTTCCTATCAAGTTAAACACTTTACCTGGTTTTACTTACATCTATAAAACATTGCTAAAATTTAACAAAATTCTGGAGCCACACAACTCTTCCAAAGGGTATAATCAACTTTATTGCTGAACACAAGCACCTTCACCCAGGAAGCAGAGATGTTAGAAGCGGCTTCATATTGTGTGAGCAACGTGCTAAAATACTTTATGGGGACACTATTCTCTAAGCAAGTGTAGAAAAGTTGAGATTTACAAAGAGCATAACTAAAAGGTGTCATGGGCTACAACATCAATACATTTCACCAGGGGCGGACAGACAACTCATGGGGCCCCCGGGCAATAGGGGATCATGGGGCCCCTGTGTCCTTGCCCAAACTCAAAAAAAGCCTATGAAAAAGGTACCAGGGGCATCTCATGGGTCCCCCTACTGACCCCGGGTAGTGCCCGAGTTTCCAAATGGTCAGTCCATCCCTGCATTTCACTTTTTTTTTTTTACAAGCTCTGTGTCCATTGTATATTTGGAGTTTTAAAATAAATAAATATTTTTCTCACACTTTTATAAACTGCACGTTTTTCTTTTTGCTATATACTGTTACTCGATCCTTTGGGCCCGTTTTGATGGCATCAAGTCGATATCCACTTGCCCTCCAGAAGAAGATTTAGCCCCTTTCATGACCAGGCCATTTTTTGCTATGTTGCGCGGTCATGCAACGCTGTACCCAAATGAAATTTACATTTTTTTTTTTTCACGCAAATAGAACTTTCTTTGGGTGGTATTTAATCACCTCTGGGTTTTTTCATTTTTTATTATATAAAAGAAAAAAAAACTGACAATTTTGAAAAAAAAAAACCAAAACAATATTTTTTACTTTCTGCTAGAAAACATATCCCATAAAAAAACAAACAATGTAAAAATCAAAGCTCGTAATAAATTTAGTCCAAAATGTATTCTGCTACATGCCTTTGGTAAAAAAAAAATATCCCAATAAGTGTATATTGATAGGTTTGTGTGAAAGTTTCAGATTCTACATACTATGGAATATATACTGGAATTTTTATTTATTTACTTTTTTTTCAGCACCTTATAAGGGGACACTGTGGCGGTCAATATAACACTAACTAATGCTGGGGGAGAACTAACTTACTGCCACTGACATCATCAGCGCCATTATTACAGTGATCAGTGCTGATAATGTGCGCTGTCGCTGTACTACTTACACTGGGCAGGAAGGGGTTAACATCTACGGTGATAAAGGGGTTAAATGTGTGCCTACATGTACATGTGTGTGTACTGTATGCCGCTTTTACTGTGGATCTAGTTCAACTAGATCACCTGTCACTGAACACAGCTCTGTGCAGTTTACACTGACAGAGCTCTATTCTATGAGTCTCAGAGCCGATCGCCTGGTTGCACTGGGATTCATCACAGCACATACCAGTCATCGGGTGCTGGCCGCTGATTGGCCACTGGCACCTGGTAATTGGAATGTGCTGTGACAAATCACAGTGTAGCCAGGCAGGCGCAGGTGATGTATTTATACGCGATTCTGCAAAAACCAATCGCCCTGTAGCAGTAAAGCTACAATGGGCTGGTTTTCAAGTGGTTTTCAAGTTTAAAATGTTTCCGAATTCATTGACAGGTGCTTTTGTTCTCCTTCTGGCCTGCAGTTGAC